TTCAGCCTGTAACAGAAAATTATTTGCCCCTATGGAGTTCGAGACCCGGGTGCCGCATGACGGAGCGAGCTCCCGTCTCTAGTTCCAGCTCCTGCCAACCTAGCAGTTCGAAAGCAAGAAATTGCAAGTAGATAAATAGGTACCACTTTGGTGGGAAGGGAACAGCGTTCCGTGCGCCTTGGTGTTTAGTCATGCCGGCCACATGACCACGGAAACGTCTTCGGACAGCGCTGGCTCTTCGGCTTTGAAACGGAGATGAGCACCGCAACCCTAGAGTCGGATTCGACTGGCTTTCGAGCAAGGGAACCTTTGCCTTTACCTTTACTATGGAGTAAACATCTAGGCTCTTACTTCGGTTCTGATTTGTTTACTGGAGCAAATAGACGTTCCATGGGGCCATTTCAAATCGGAAGAAAGGATCTGGGGAGGGGGAAAAGTTTAAACCTCCTTCCCAAGGTCCCAGTCCAGCTTAGAGCCCCTGAGTACCTTTGTCTTAAAAGGGGAGGGAGGAGAAACATTGGGGAGATCATTCATGGAATTCCCAGTATCACACCCGTTTTGGTCCTTAGAATACTAACAAGCCGTTGATTATGAAGACTGATATCACAATGGCACTATCTGCTGGGCTAGGCATGTCTGCTCTTATCTCCCTATGGGAATCCCACCATTCTTTAGAGTCCCCAAATACTTGTTTAGCCTCACAGTCCTGAGATAAAGGTGAGCAATTATGCTCACAAGATTAAATGTGCAGCCGTCTGTGATCTCTGAAGGCTGTATATTATGTATACCGTTTTCGGATAGATATTGCTGTTGTGGCTTAGGGATCATAGAAACAGTGAAGCATGTTTTATTTGAATGTTCATAGTATATGGAGGTGAGAAAGAAATGGATCAAGCCAATTATGCCCCAGGGAAACGAGCTTCCCCCAGACATTTTAGTTACTAAAATTTTGATGGATCCTAGGCCAGCAAATACACTTTTTAAAGCTAAATTCCTTGTTCAGGACACAAGAGTTTGGGCAGCTCATTACAAGATACCTTTTCTAATATAGTATACTGTCTTCTCTGGCTCAAATTCTTCCTTTTTCCCTTTTTATTCTTAGCTGGAATAGATCGATGCTACTCAAGTCCTGTAGTTCAGAGGAGGAGAGGGAAGGAAGGAAGGAAGGAAGGAAGGAAGGAAGGAAGGAAGGAAGGAAGGAAGGAAGGAAGGAAGGAGATAGATAGATGATGGATGGATGGAGGGAGGGAGGCTTTTTAAACAGTAAAAATACGTATCCCTTATTGAAGTAGGGAAGGAAAGCATCATGTAACCCCCCCTTAGAACAAGAAAGGAACTCTGCACAAGCTCTAAGGAATTCAACCTGAGGCATCAGAATTTCTGAAAACAAAAGAAGGGCTGCCCTAGACCTTGCCAGCAATGTAGGTGCCACAAGAAATCTTGTTATGGTGTCTCACTGGTGTGGATTTCTATTTTTATTTTTTTAATACAGGGCACATTGTGCTAGATGAGGATCTGGAGAGGATAGTCTTTGTGGTCAACTTGGGCCTGGTGCCGCCTCAGGAGAGCGTGTCCATCTGCATCAGCACCTCCTCAGAACTGCAGACTCTCCCCAGCGGGGCCGTGAGGGTCCTCCTTCCAGCTGTGTGTGTCCCCAAGGTCCCCCAGAACACGACCAACCCTACCATCAGCCTCTCTGGACATCACCTCCGACTGTAAGAATCCTGCTGGGTTTCTGGGCCCTGCAGAGGGAGAGGAAGGCTTGTCAACCTCCAGGTGGGGCCTGGAGAGCTCCTGAAATTACAGCTGATCTCCAGGCAAAAGAGATCAGTTCCCCTGGAGAAAGTGGCTGCTTTGGAGGGTGGTCCCTTTGACATTATACCCTGCTGAGATCCCTCCCCTCCCCAAATCCCACCATTCCCAAGCTCCAGCCCCCAGATCTCCAGGAGCTTCTCAACCTGGACTTGTGGACTTGGCAATCCTAGGGGAAACCTGTAGAAGAAGGAGGAGGAGGAGGAGATTGGATTTATACCCTGCCCTTAACTCAGAGTCTCAGAGCAGCTTACAAACTCCTTTCCCTCCCCCTCCCCACAACAGACACCCTGTGAGGTAGGTGGGGCTGAGAGAGCTCTGACAGAAGCTGCTCTTTCAAGGACAGCTCTGACAGAACTGTGGCTTGCCCAAGGTCATCCAGCCAGGTGCAAGTGGAGGAGTGGGGGAATCAAACCCGGTTCTCCCGGATTAGAGCCCGCGCACTTAACCACTACACCAAACCTTGACTCCTCACATTGTAGGACTGCCAGGCACCCAAACATCCTCTGCCAAGGCAGGACTCACACAACCCACAGAGCAAGAAGCAAGGCCTAGCAGAACGGAATGTTCTGGATGAGGAGAAGCTCCACCCAACAGGGAAGGGATTCTCTGGGCTGTCCTACATGTTAGCAGGGGTCATTTCCTGCAGGAGCGCACAGGAGCGGAGCTCCGGCAGTAAAGAGCCTAGGGGGCGGGCACATGCAACAAGCCCCGTCCCCAGCAGCCCCGGGGCCGCGAGGAGCACGAAGCAGCCAGGTAAATTGCAGAGCCCCCCCATAGATAGCAATCCAAAACAGTCCGGTGGCACCTTTAAGACCAAGTTTTATTCAGGTACAAGCTCTCCCTCCTCTGTGAGGGCAGATCTGCATGTCCCCCCCCCCAAATAGCTAACAATTCAGAACAGTCCAGTGGAGCCTGAGCCTGGGTGTTGCCTTCTGACACACTTCCGGTGATGTCAGGGGGTGTGGCATATGCAAACAGGTTATGCTAATGAGTTATGCTAATGAGCTCCTGCACCTCTTTTTCTACGTAATGACCCCTGCATGTTAGAAACAACCTCCCCATGTTGCCTTTTCCCTTCTCTCTATAACAGGCAGTTTCACTTACGTGATGTAATGTCGTTATGGCTGCGATCACACACACTAAATAACCTGCTTCCAATTAGGGTTGCCAGGTCTGGGTTGTAAAATTCCTGGAGACTTTGGAGGTGGATCCAGGAGAGAGTGGGGTTTGGGGAGGGGAGGGGCCTCAGCATGGTCCAGTGCCACAGAGTCCCCCCCTTTTGAAGCAGCCGTTTTCCCCAGGGGAGCTGATCTCTGTCATCTGGAGATCAGTTGTAAAAGCGGGAGGTCTCCAGACCCCACCTGGAGGCTGGCAACCCTACTTCCAATGCACTTTCCAACTGGATTTTGCCAGCTCACACAGTAAGATCCAGTTGGAAAGTGCATTGAAAGTGCATTGAAAGTGGATTATTTAGTGTCTGTGATTGCAGCCTACATCAGGAATTTGGCCCCCCTGTCACTGGTATCGGTAGAGCTGCCAACTCTGGGTTGCAAGATTTCTGGAGATCTGGGGGGGTATAGCCAGGGGAGGGCAAGGTTTGGAGAGGGGAAGGACCTCAGCTGGGTATAATGCCATAGAGTCCACCTAGGCTTGCCAACTCTGGGTTTAAAAGTTCCTGGGTTAAGAAGTTCCCAGAGAACATATAGGTTCTCTCATTGGCCCAGCCCATACTCTTCCTCGACCAGATTCTGAGAACACAACCTGAGAAATGCCTTGAAAGCTTACGGTGGGCTTTCCACTCCACCACTGCCCTGTTCCTCACCATACCATAGGATTGCGGGAAATGCCTGGAGAGTTGGGGGTGGAGCTTGTGGAGGGGAGGGGAGGGACCCCAGTGGGGTACCATGCCATAGATTCCACCCTCCCAAGCAGCCATATTCTCCAAGGGACCTGATCTCTGTTGTCTGGAGATCAGTTGTAATGCCAGGAGATCTTCAGACCGCTACTGGAAGTTGGCAACCAAAAGCCTACCCTCTGAAGCAGCCATTTCCTCCAGAGGAACTTTTCTCTGTGGTCTAGAGGTCAACTGTAATTCTGAGAGAACTTTAGGCTCCACCTGAAGGTTGGTAGCCCTATGACGGCCAATGCAGACTGCGGGGATCAGAGAAACTTGATGTCTCATTATTAGTAAATTACCTGGTATGATGAGAGGGAGGAAACTACAATCAGGACCGTAGAGAGGAGGGGACCAGAGATACAAAATTCTGGGGGTCCAGGCAGGGGCAGTGTTCGTGATTCTGAGGAGCTACACATATGTGTACATTTCTGGCCATCACGCCTCAGAAAAGATATTATAGCACTGGAAAAAGTGCAGAAAGGGGCAACTAGAATGATAAAAGGGTTGGAACACTTTCCCTATGAAGAAAGGTTAAAGTGCTTGGGGCTCTTTCGCTTGGAGAAACGACGACTGAGGGGTGACATGATAGAGGTTTACAAGATTATGCATGGGACAGAGCAGGTAGAGAAAGAAGTACTTTTCTCCCTTTCTCACAGTACAAGAACTCATGGGCACTCAATGAAATTGCTGAGCAGTTGGGTTAGAATGGATAAAAGGAAGTCCTGGCCTCACTGGTGGACCTCCTGATGGCACCTGGTATTTTTGGCCACTGTGTGACAGAGTGTTGGACTGGATGGGCCATTGGCCTGATCTTATGTAATGATTCCGTATGGAAAACGAACTGTTATGTTTTACACCTCTCCTGTCCCAGGTGTACCTAGAGCAGGTGGCCTTATTAACCCAACTGGTTGACAGGTTTGTCTTGAATTTTAGCAGTTGCGAGATGTTATCCATAAAGCCTTCTCTTGATATACTGTCTTCCCCCTAGCAGAGACAGACACTACTGTGGCACCACAACGCCAGATCCAGCCAGTAAATTCTGTTTGGCCCAGCTTTTGGAGACGGAAGCAACCAACCCCACTGAATATGACTTCAGCTTCTTCCTGGAAATCAGGGGGCCGTGCTTGCTTGCAGGTAACCTGGCAAGATTCAATGCAGGGCTAGTCTTGGAGGCTAAGCAGGGTCAGCTGTGGTTAGTCTTTGGATGGGAGACCACCAAAGAAGCAGGCAACGGCAAACCACCTCTGAATGTCTCTTGCCTTGAAAACCCAAGGGTCCCCATAAGTCAGCTATAACTTGACCACAAACAATAAAATAAATCTTGGGGCTAGACAGTTTGGTGACGTGGTTAAGTGTGCGGACTCTAATCTGGGAGAACCGGGTTTGATTCCCCACTCCTCCACTTGCAGCTGCTGGATGACCTTGGGCAAGCCATAGTTCTGTCAGAGCTGTCCTTGAAAGAGCAGTTTCTGTCAAGAGCTCTCTCAGCCCCCACCTACCTCCCGGAGTGTCTGTTGTGGGGAGGGGAAGGGAAAGGAGTTTGTAAGCCGCTCTGAGACTGAGTGAAGGACGGGGTATAAATCCTATCTCCTCCTCCTCCTCCTCTTCTTCTTCTGTAAGGAGCAGTGCTTTATAAGGGAGTAGGTTATTGAGTTCAACGTCCCAGTGCCCATGCTCTGCCCTTGGGCCCCACATATCCACCTCACAAGGTTCCCCTGGTCCTCATTAGCAAGGCGAAGGGTTCTTCAGCTGACCCTCTCTCAGTAGGCCAGTCACCTCCACTGGTTTTATAAAATGCCCATAAATACAAGTTGGATTTAGCCATTCAAAAACAATCTAGGCTTACTATATTGGCAATACAGTGGCTCTTTCCTAAGGCCATTTGAAACACATACCAGTGTAGTACAGTAGAAAGTCAGCTAGGATCTGAGAGACCTGGGTTTGAATCCCCCCTCAGCTGTGGAAGCTTGCTGGGTGACCTAGGGCCAGTCACACACTCTCAGCCTAACCTATCTTCACAGCATTGTTGTGAGAATAAAATAGAGGAGAGGAGGGTAATGTAAGACGCTTTAGGTCCCCATTAGGGACAAAGGCAGGGTATAAATTTAATAAGTAAACACTGAGGAAACCAGTACAACATAGTTGTAACCCAAGCGTTGGACGTTAGAATAAGTTCAAAGTTTAGGTCCTCCTTTCTTAAATCCCCCCGACACCTTGGCTTAAGCAAAGTAACTATTTATTACAACAGGGAGAGTACAGTTTTGCACACAGGGTGTGGTACTCTCTACCCCTGAACTCCTTTCCCTTCCCAGACCAAAGGTCCAGTCATTTCCTTGTTAAAGCTGGTTAAGAAACCATCTTCAGTTCGAAGCTAGATGGTCTGAGGGCTAACCTCCTCCGCAAGAAGTGATTTCCGTAAAGGGAGTGGTCTGGATGGAGGCCACAGAGCTCAGAGGAGATGCCTCTTGGGGGTTGGAAATGCTGCATCAGCCCCATGCAATTTCCCACCCCTTCAACGCATTTCCGTTAGCATCTCCATCTTCTTTTTCCATGGATTTCCCCCACCAGGAGTCGAAAGTCCAACTCATGAAATTCGAGCGGATGCTGAGCCTTCAGCCCGATCTGCCAAGAGTATTGTGATCACTCTAGCCAACAAGCATACCTTTGACCGGCCTGTGGAGATCTTGATTCATCCCAGCGGTAGGTGGGCTGTACCCTCTGTCTTTGGGGACTGGCTGGTCAGGCGGGTGTTTCTCCTTCAACAAGGATTTGTCCTCCGCACTCCAGGAAAAAATGGAAAGTACTGATTTCATCCTTATGAAGCATGAGACCCGTGGCACCCCTTCTGAACTCTGCACAAATTGTTGATTCACCCTCTAGAAACTGGATTTCCTTAATACCGGCTTACTGTCTCCCCCCTCAACATTAGAAGCCGATGTCAAGTGTATGAAATGTAGAAGAAGAATGCAGAAGGCAGTGTGTGTAGGGTTCAGAGTGGCCAACTAGAGCTAGGAAAGCCAGGGTTTGAATCCCCACTCTGCTGTGGAAATTTGCTGAGTGACTTTGGACCAGTCACTCTTTCTTAGCTTAACCTACCTCACCTACCTCACAGAATTGTTTTGAGAATAAAATGGAGAGGGGAAAAGAATAATTGATGTTGCCATGAGTTCATCAATGCGAGGGAGGGATGGATGGATGGAACTGCAACAGTAGTCCATGAGGGGAAAAATGATAGGTAGCCTAGCCATCTGCTGGGTTGGGAATCTAGCAGGCCTCCAATCCATTTTTGTTTGACACCCTGATCTATTTAGAGACATTTATGCTAGAAAAGTGTACCTTTATTATGTAGACTTGCTTTGGAAGTTACTACATCAGTGCTAGATCAGTGCTAGATCCAGTTTGGTGTGAGAGCCAGTTTGGTGTAGTGGTTAAGTGCGTGGTCTCTAATCTGGGAGAACTGGGTTTGATTCCCCACTCCTCCACTCGCAGCTGCTGGATGACCTTGGGCAAGTCGTAGTTCTAAGAGCTGTTCTTGAAAAAGAGCG